TGAGAGGTCTGTGTATCCATCTTGGCAACTACAGGTGTATGTGCCTCGCAGATTAAAACATTGAGCATGTTCAGAACAGTCATGGAATTGGCGACTCTCACATTCATCAAAGTCTGCATGCAGAATCATTAAGTATGTATTAATTATATATTGTGGTCAACTTGTGAGTCATAATTTATAGATTTCAGTACAGTTGATACTAAGGCTTTGTGCACTCACCTTCAGCTTTGATGTGGTGTATGAGGTCTCTGTTAGCAAACATTTCAGTGCTCCCTAAACTGTAATTGCTGGTTCGTAGTGACTTCTTGAACACATCCTGTAATCGTGTCTCCTCTATGTTGTCTGACAACTGGAACAGTAATACACTTATTTCAAATTTAATATTGCACTGAGAGTGTAATCTGAACTAAATTACAGTTACTTTTCAGTTCAAAATTTGTCAGTTCATATGTGTTGGGGGAATATTTGGATATAAAGAAATTGGTGTTACTTTTGTGAGAAAATTACATAATAAAGAACTCTTCATTAATATTGTTAGGGAGATTAAATCAAGGGGGATAAGATGGACTTGGCATGTAACATGAATAAGAACATAAGAACTTCTTTCGAAACCGTAGGAAAAAGGCCACATTAGAGACCTGTGTATAGCTGAAAGACAATATGAAAATGGATCTTAGATAAATAGGGTGAGTGAAGGTTGGGACTGGACTTAAGTGGCTTAGAACAAGACAAGTTTCTTAGAAGCAGGAAGTTCTTTAACTGGATAAGTAACTATAACCTTTTTAAGAAAGATTCTGGATAAACTGAAATTTGGATGATTAAAAATGTGATAAAATGCAAATATGCAGTGGCAACCTGAGAGTTTGTGTACTGTGTCCATAAATTTCAGTAAGTTACATACCTGTACATAGAAGTTAACGGTAACCCCATCACCTTTGTCAGCTGGCTGGAAACCATTAACAACCACACCATGATAGATGTCTCTGAGATCAGACTGCATAACCATTCGATCCAAACCCTCTCTTGCAGCCTCAGTAAGTTGCTGATAGTGTGATGAGGTGGTGTCTTCCAGTGAACTGCCATAGTGGAGAGTTTCCTTACCATGACGAGCCAGTCCCACCTTCATTTTGTATGTATACGTTGCTGTGGGTATAACAGTGAATGGAAGTTATTAAAATAGAAATAAAAATATGTCTTGATTGAATAATAGTAAAGACTGCGGGTAAATTAAAACTACAGCATATACAAACACTGACCAAAGAGTATCAGTCAAGGGTAAGTTGCTTTCATGAACAGATGTGTTATGTTTCTATGAATAAATATTACTAGCATATCTTCTTGTAGTGCTTCTGATAAGAGTGAAGGAGAAAGAAGAATCAAAATGCTGAATGTACTTTCTGAACAGTTGGATAATTATTACCTGAACATTAGTACATCTGTAGCAACTGAGTACATAAAATGTAAAAGGTGTGTAGTGGTGAAGTGTGATTTATTCTGTTACATGCTGAGTTGACTGTTGATAAAATGGAGTGTTCCGACATAACACATTGTTTAAAACGGAATGTCAGATAACTGAAGGTTGGATAATCAGGATTTTACTGTGTTTGATTAAAGTATGGTGGTCCATCCAGCATTGATAGGATTTATTTTTGTTTTAGTATTAAACAAAACCAATGTTCTTACTCTTTATTTTTATTTGCAGCAAAGCATTGGTTCATTAATACTGGTAGTGATTCCTAAGCCAGTGGCTTCATTCTAGTAAGACGTAATTGTGTAGCTGTTTTCAATGATAGTTATCCCATACCTTGGATAACATGGTGGATGTTAGTTATTGCAGGTCAGCTTGAAATATTATTTCAGTTTGTTCAGATGAACCACAAAAGGGAGTTCAAAAGATTTATGTCAAAAATTCATTTTACAAAATAAAGAAAAGTTACAGTGGAACCACGGTTCCGGAGAATTTGGCGTAAATGCGTCTATACGGAAAGGAAGTTTATATATTGGCTTTATTCTAAATATTTCCTTTATACATGCTTTACAATTGCGTAAAGTTTGATTAAGACATTGCTTATTTAACTTGAATTAGTTACGCTTAAGATGTGTCTGTGATAGATGAATGTAATGTAATGTAATGAAATGTAATGTAACATTTCCTAGGTAACAACAATACTGAGTAAACAGATGATGTTTCCTAGGTAACAATAATGCCGAGTAAACAGATGACGTTTCCTAGGTAACAACAATTCCGAGTAAACACGACGTTCCCTAGGTACACTTGTTACACTTTTTTGCTGAATGACCCTTCCTTATAGACGTATTTACGTCAAAAAAACCAATTCGTGGCAACAGGACATACTGACAACACTAGATAATCAGATGGAAATCAGTGTGCACAGAAAAGTAGAGCTTTGATCCATAGGGAGTAAGCAGAAACCCTAACCACAGACTTTTGTTATTTTGTTATAAACAGTGTGTATGAGATTTTGAGAGTTGTCTTCAGTTGTGTATTAAATGTTTATCACACTACATTCTTGCATTTTGTAGAAGATATGTTACCAGTAAGACATCACCTTGCCAACCTGCTGAAAAACAGAGTGTATTTTCTGTCTTTATATCAACATCTTATGCTTTCTAGTGCAAAGGTTTTTCTATAAATTGGACTTGACAAGACACTGACCATGCTTAGGTTTAAGAAATGAAGTATTATAATACTGGGGGTATGGTCATGCACCCCAGACCTTCCTCAGGCACTATCCTTGGAGTGTTTTATGACCAACAATTCTACACCGGACCATCAACAAGGAATATACTATAAATTGTTATTTATTTTTTATTTTGGCAGACACTTCTATCAGCATCCTTCTACTGGTTAGGTTTTATAAATGTTACAGAACAGTACTTATATTTATTTGCTTATGTGAACATAAAATTAAACACACCTCGTGCACTTATCCATTCAGACACCACAATTCCCCCCTCCCCCAAAAGTTACAATTTTAGTTATTACTTACGTCTGCATGGCCTATCAGGGAACATTCTTGCAAACCCAGGCCTGCAGACACAGCTCATGCGTCCTTCCACCTTTTGACACAACTCATTTCGAGCTGCACTACAGTCTGGCCTACAAGAGTTGCTTCCCTGGTTTCTGTTGTTGAAGTGGGTAGAAGGTGTATTGTGATGTGGAGGGGCAGCTATTAACACGCCACCCAGCAGTACTGCGTGGTTTACCTCACTGTTAGGATCACTTTCATCATGATTTGCCACTTCATTATAATCTTCTCCACTTTTACTGCCTTTGTTAATATTTATAGTTGCTGGCTTTTGGTCATTCACCACCACAAAGAATGACTCATTCTCATCAGCTCCACCTTCAAAATGCAATGCAAAATGGCATGTAATATCCACCACAGTTGTAATCATTATACAGCTGGAGAGAAAATACAATCAAAGCACATGAAGACTTAAAGATAAATAGATACTGCAAAAGTGTCACATTGTCATTCTCTCATCTTATACTCAAGACAACCTCCGTAAGGTCTTTTTTATCAGTGGACAATGAACTTTGTCCAATATAATTATATCTTCATTAATTTCAGATGTCTACAGAATAATGCAGTATATTTAAAATATATTTCTTTCTGTCAGTTTATGCATTTGTCTGTAATTTTATCACCAGTCTTTTAGTGAATACAGAAACAGCAAATTAATCCAGTGGAATTTGGAATTAAAGGTACTGGTGTTTACTTGAAAGATATTTTATAAGAAGTTTTGCCCAGCCTTTATATACCTCACAAAAACATTGTATCTAAATTACAGAAGCAAACAAGAGAATAGAACATTATGGTAAGAAGGCAAATAATTACAAACTCACCAGTAAGTACTCCTGTGTTACCAGTGATGTTTTCATTTCTTACATCATTACTGTTCTTCTCCATGTGAATTTTATTTCCCTCTGAAGTGCTACTAGGTTTCACCTGTTCTTCCTGATCCTTATCACCAGGATCCTGCACTGGTGATGTTGAGAGAGGTTTGACAGGGAATGTAGGGTAATTAGCAGGGTCAAATGGTGATGCAGGGGCATACACAGAGGAAGTTGCAGAAACAGTAGTTGTAACAGTGGCAACAACACTTGTAGGATGCACCAAAGTATGGAACTCTGTTTCAGTGACGGTATCTACGTGAGTAAATATTTGTGTCTTTGTAACAACTACAGTCCGTGTTGAAGGCTGTTGGCCGTGGCTGCTCATTACTGTCGTTTCTGTCATAGTTACTGTATGAGTATGCGTATGGGTCACATAATGTGTCGGGATTTCAGCAGCACTGCTGAAGATGATCTTGTCATCATTGGAACTTGCAATGCCTAGGTCTGGTTTATGGTCCTTGTTCTCAAATCCCATAGCATCATCATCATCGTCATCACTATCAGTGTTTGAATGATAAAAAGATTCATTTTCTTTGTGATGATCACTAACCAAACTTGTGCTTTGTGTGGGTTCTGCAATTTTAGATGGCTTCACTACCATGGTTGAAGGTTTTGTGAAGAGATTGCCAAAAATTGTCTTTGACCCTATTGAAATTAGTGTGGTTGTAGCACTTAGCATCGATGTCTTCTTCTTCTGAATATTTTCAGATGGTGTAGCATGACCCTGTGAATGCGGTATATTACCTGGGCTTTCAGAACCAATTATAATGTCTTCATTCCACAAGCCTTCTGTGCTGTATGTTGTTTTTCTCTTTTCAGAATCCTTCACTGCTGTTGGTGATATCACAGGTTCTTTTGGAATAGGTTTTCCAATGACTACAGTTTGTAGCACAGGTGTAGAATCAGGAAGAAGAGGTTTATCTGCACCACCTATGATTGTATAGCTATTTGGACCTATTGAGACATCATCAGTTGCTGCAGAAGTGTGGGAGTAGATAGATTCTGTTGACTCTGAAGTGGAAGGTCTTGGTGGCCTTGGTCTGTCTGAAGACAAAGGTGGTCTCCATGTTGTGATGGGACGTCTGTGTGTATAATTTGAATCCTGAGGTAAGGATGGTTTCTTGATAAGGTTTTTATTTTCATCTTCATTTGGTTTAGTTACATTTTCTGTATATGTGCTTATTGGAATAGAAATCTCTTGCAAAGGTGGACGGATCCAGAATGGCCTTTTATCACTTGTTTTTTGTATGGTTGTTGGTTGTTCTGTTGTTGGTGGCAGTTCAAATTTGTACGGTGGTGGCTTGGTCCTGATAGGTGGTCTCCTGTGATTGCCAATATTAACAACTGGTCTGTGAGAGGAGACTTGAGGTTCAATGCTAAGCATAGGAAATCGCTGCCCATTGCTGCCACCTGGAGTGACTCGTGGTGGAGGGGCAAGACCTACAACCAGTTCATCTGTGTTGAAGTCAAAATCAGGCTGCTTTGGTACAGATGGGAGGATGCTAAATGGGCGTGGGGTATTGGCCTGAGTTTCTAAATCATATAGTGGTTCTGATGTTGAAGGTTTATCCAATTTATTCAGGTCATCATGTTTGTCAAAGATTGGTTGTTGAGGTCTGTGATTCATATTTGCACCACCAAAGTTAATTTCTAATGTTTTATTGAAATGTGAATTTTCATCATGTTTGCTATTCTGAGGATGCTGCTCTGAATTTGTATTCAGTTTACTGTCAGAAAGTTCAGATTGATGGCTTTGAGGTTGTACGCTGTACGAGGTTCCATCTGTATAAGATATAACTGGTTTCTGTTTCACATGATTCCAATTATTTGATGTGTGTGGTCTGCCTTCAATTACCACTTCAGGTCTTGAATGTTCAGGTATTTCTTCAGAATTTGGGAACTGTGGTCCTTCATTTGGTCTAAATTGTTGCAATGACCCATTGACATTTGTTGAATGTGATCTATTATCAAAGTTTGGTTGAGGTTTGGTGTGGTGTGGTCTTTGTTCAGTGATCTGAATGTAAGGGGTTTCTTTATAGTTTGGCTTGTAAGGTCTATTTTCAGGATTTGGTTTCAGTGGTCTGTCAGGTTGTGGTGGTTGGTCAAACATTGACTGTGGTGGTTTCATTTGATGCAGAACTTCATCATGTTTAGCTCCCAGGATTGTACCAGGCCTCACTATGATAGGGCGATGGGTTGATGCTGAATTAGCAAGTAGAACTTCCACTGGAATTTGGCCAGGCCTTAAGGGTCTTTGGTTTGATTCTTGCATAACTTCACCTCCTTCTACTTCTGTTGGGGCATCATTGCCATCTGACTGAATTATATGATCCTGTGTCTTGGGGCCTGGAGGATGTAAACCAGTTGGATTCAGAGGAATAGCAGGGCCGTGGAAATTTCCAGAGTTATGAAAAGAATCAGGTTTGAAATGTGTGTGAGGTGGTGGTGGAGGGATCATGAAATCTGTTGGTGGCATTGGATGATGTGGAAATGAGTGACCATGTACAGGTGATGTAGATGAAGTGGGATGGTGCTTGGCTGGAGGTGGAGGAGGTGGCAGCTGCTGGGTTGGTGGCCATGTTGGTCTGTGATGATGACTGTGTACATTTGGAGTGGGTCTTCTGTTTGGTGTCCCAGGTCTTCCTTGAAGTGGCACATCAAGAACAATTCCACTTGGTGATACATGTTCTCCATTTAGAGAATAATGACCAGGAGCTATTTCTACATTCAGTCCTTGTCCTGGGCTGACATCAACATTTATTCCTTGTCCTGGACTGACATCAACATTTATTCCATGTCCTGGACTGACATCAACATTGACTCCTTGACCAGGACTAATCTCCACATTTATGCCTTGCTGTGAAGTATGATCATTTATATGGCCGATGTTTTCTGGTTCTTGTGGTGGCAGATCCATCCTCGTTCCACTAACCTGGGAATCATGGGATGCATGATACTCAGGATGAATATTATGTGACTCATTTTCAGGCCCACCTATTTCTACAAATCCTGGGCTTGATTCAGGTAATGGATGTGGTGCTGGATCATAGAACCCATTACCTTGGTCACTGAAGGTGTGAGAAGCTGTAGAGCCACCATGTGGTATGATCACATTTGCTACTTGTGAGGGTTGTATGTTGACCAGCAGTGGTATACCTGATGAACGATCAAGTGAAATTGGCTCTGTTTGACCAAACACTTGTATGGGATTACCATGTATGATATCAATTCCCTGATTTACTGGTTTACCTTGAAACACTGTTTGTAAATCAGATATAGCAGAAGCTTTAGCAGGAACATTCATAATTTGTTCTTCTGAGTAATTCTCATGTACATTTGGAAGATGACCACTGATATCTGGTTTGGCCACTGGTGGAGGTAAAAGTGGAATATCGTCTTCTGATGGGTGGTGGTGTGAGGAGGAGTGATAGCCATGTTCCCGTAATGGTACATGATCCCTCAGTGGTGCATGGTTTCTGTTTGGTGGTGGTGGGAATGTTTCTCTGAGAGGAATGTGCCCTGAGCCATGTTCTCTAATTGGTGTATGACCAGAAGGTGTGTCCCTGTTTGACCATACTGTTGGTGGAGGTGGAGGTTTCATCCCCAGAGGAATTTCATCCTTGTTGCCATTTATTTTAGGTGGCCGTGGACCCATTATTGCTGGTTTCCCAACAATTACATCACTGTTAGCTGTTATCACTTGACCAGGACTTATAGGAATACCATCTCCCAACAATGCACTTTCAATTGGTCGACCAATTGCTGCAGAATCCACAGGCCGGCGTTGATTTGTGTCAGGGAACCCTTGTTGCGGCCATTTCATGTCACCGTTTAAATTAGCGATACCTTCATATCGCTGACTTTCTGCCATGGCCACATCTTCTGTGTCATCTCCAGCAACTGCACCTACTGGAATATAAATTGGTGATCTTACAGGTGTTGTGCTTTCATGATCTTGTGGATAAACAGGTTTAGGAGGGACATAAATAGGCAGTGGATTTCCACTGTTGTCTCCATAATAGGCAGGCCTTGGTTTGGGTGTAGTTGAAGGAACAATTATAACAGATGTGTCATTGCGCCTCTTGTCATTATTGAGATTACTCTGTATTAGACCAGCCATTGCATTGATGACAGGACCCAAAGCATTCAGACCATTAATGCCAAGTGATCCCAAACTCAGAAGATCACTTACTTCAATTTCACTTCCACCTGGACCAATTCCTCCTGTGGGTTTCTTATTTGCCGGATCTGACACAGGTATCATGGTAACATTTCCCCCATGTTGTGTCATCATAATCACCTGTTCTCCTGGCTGTAAAGTGGTTCCACTTGGTGTTACGATGGATGTTGCTAGAATGGAAGTAAGATATGAGACAGGTGAGAATGTTATGGGAAGAGAACTAGGCAGTACAGTAGTGGCAGACTCTTGAAGTGCTGGAGTAGGGGAACTAACAAGTGGCTGGGCCCCTGGTGTATCCTGTGAGAATAATGCTGTTGTACCTTCTGTATTCAAAGCTATGCTCTGGATCATGCTAATTGACAAAACACTGCTAAGAGATGGAGTTGCTTTTGTATGACCTCCCACTTCTATAGCCAGTGTCTGTGATGTACTAGAACTGTCTATCTGATCTTCTTCATCAAAGAATATGATGGTTGAACCTTTGATAATATTGTTGACATTATCACTTGCTTCCTCCATAGATGATGAGAGTTCATGATGAACTGATGTTGGAGTAACCTCTGCATCCACTGTTGAAGTTGGTTTCAGATTGTGATTCATGGCTGTAATCTTCAACTCCTGACCACCTGAGAGTGTAGCTGTTGCAACTATTGAAGAGCTTGACACAGAATCTGCATGGATTGAACTACGTAGTGAATCTAAGTATTCTGGATCAAGAAGGCTGCTGTCTACAGATTCAGTAACAACGTTCTGAACAATTCTTGTTCTTGAACTAACAATAGTTGATATATGATCACCTCCACCATCCTGTAGAAGAGTTGTGAAATAAGTAAAAGTAGTTAGGTATGTTTTTGTTGCATACAAATGAAGTGACTGTTTTTGAAAATCAATTTTTTCATCTATCTTAGATGTTGGTGTTACCTTAATTTCATTCTTACTTTTGGTTGGTATTAAACTTGGTGGCATTGTGCGTTTTGGTGGTACATAAAATTTCTCTGTAACTACATCAGAAGAAGTTGCTATATTTGTACGTATAACTGTATTTCCACCTTCAAGGAAAGTACTGAAATAAGTATATGTCACAAAGTATGTCTTGACTACATTTGTAATGGACCCTTGCTGGAGTGATGAATGTGATGCAGCAGGTCTGTTGTCTGATACAATGCCTTTCACCTCAGTTGCTTTCTTATTAGACTCTGTTATGACAACCTGTGTTAATATATCTTCAGTGCTGACAATCTTCACATCAGTACCATCTGTCAGTGTCTTGGTGAATGCTACTGTGCTCAAATATGTATTTGTATCAAATGTAGATTGTCCTGATGGCTGCAGCTGAAGCAAATAGTCATGTGGTGCTGTCAGAGTGTTAGTGACAGTATGTTGTGATGTAACAACTAGTGGAACATCACCATCAATCAAAGTATTTAGATATGTATAAGTAGTATGAAACACCCCTGTGGAAAGGAATGGACTTGCTGAAAGGGTTAATGCAGTTATGGGTGTTGGAGTGATCGTGTTGGTTCCTGTCCGTTCCTCTGTAACAACATTTGAGACAATCTTCTCGTTACTTGAAACAGTGGTTACACCATCCTGCAGGAATGTTGTTAAATATGTATAGGTGGTAAGGTAGGTGTTTGTTGCAAAAACATTCTGTTGTAGTGATGAGGATAATTGGGCTTCAACCTGCAGACAGAAAAATATTCATGTGTTCATGGAACAAATAATGTTATACACACGGTGAATTCAATTTTATGTTTTAAGACAAAATAAAATGAAAAAAATGTTCAGTGAGAACTTTGAATTGTAAGCTTATTAATTTTTAATTATATAAAATGTTAAAATGAACTTCCATTACGTGCCCCCCCCCAGCACACACACACACACACACACACACGCTGCTCACACGCAGTCATCATCATTCACACAACATGACATTTGATGATTTAAAGATAGTGGTCAGTTCCATGCTCTGGCCACTTTACTCCTGGGGAAAAACCAAGTGACAGTCTGAATGCAGTGATGAATTAAACATCTTTACTGGCACTTATACTGCAGTCAGCCAGTCACTTTTCTGACTGAGTTATCTATTCCAGCTCAAATTAGGTGAAAATAAGCTTGATATTAAGATTTCTCAGTTACCTGAGAGCTTTCATGTGGTAGGAAGAGCACCATATGATCTGTAAGTGTGCTGGGTGCCAGCGTGATGGGGCGAGACAAGGAGCTGGACAGTACACGCAAAACTTGAGGCTCCCCAGGCAGAGTACTCCTGTCACCTGCTACAATCACCTCCACACCATTACTCATCACTTTGGTGGCCAGATTGTATCGTGCTTCTCCTGCTCCATTCACATTCAGCCCACGTGCCTCCACTGGTCCGTTCATCTCTGCATTGAACATTCAGGGATTCACTGACTAAAAGTGTTACTTTAACTCTGTCTTTTCCTGCACAACTCATTGTTTGTGGAAATAACTAATTTACGTTTTTATGCTCTAAAAATTATTTATTCTCTGGTTTTTTCATGCCATTCCTGTGGACTGTTACAGTATCTATTAACACCTATATATGTAGTAAACCTGACATTCTGATGTTTTTGTGACTTGGGATTTTGTGGTTTTCCCCAATCATCTTGGCCAGCCTATGAGTCTTTGCGCTGGGATTGTGATAATTTTAAATTCAGAAATTGGGGGTGGGATTGGTATTCTTGTATTACTTTAAGCTACTGTACTTTGTTCAAGTTCAGTGGGGTGCACTCGAATCAAACAGGATATATACCAATGATGAGTAACCTGCAGGCCTGCCAAATTTTTTATGCAGCCACAAGTGAGTTCTGCAAATGAAAAACTAAAAATACTGAGGTCATTATAGTATTCCCAAAATATTTGCAAAACAATTTATCGTTGGAAGAAGAATTGAGGGGGTTTGAAACAACAATGCAGATCTCTTACAAATTAAAGCCGCCAATTTTCAGTGGTTTTCTACCACAGCGTAACCTTTTTCTTTCGCCGGATCGACTTGGAGTTCAGTATAATCGAGAAATTAGTTGCCTTATTGCCAATAAAAGGGACCACTGCATGTGCAAGTGTATATGAAGAAGTCACGAAAGTGCATGCAAGTCCGGATATCCCAATACGGATTAGCTGCACTTCGGCGGATGGAGCAAAAGTGCCGCAAGGAACAGTGGCGTGTCGTAGCTCATTGCCAACGACGGGAATAATACAACGTATCACGATTTGACAATATTCAATTGTTTGACACATCAATAAAACCTTTGTGCGAAATCTCTCAAAATGACGACTGTTGTGGTGGTTTCAAAACTAGTTACTACCCACTGATGCTGACATACCCAAATGAAATTCAGCTTCAACAGAAAATCATCTGGAGTATAACGCCACAATCAACTGATTTACAGTGCCATTTGACGTTAATGTTCAAACTCTTCCGACCGAATTTTACATTTATTTCCGGTGTGTTACAGACTTGGACTCCGTAACTTTTACATTGCCTGTGTTTCGTGACTATGTACGGTGAATGAAAACACTTTTCGGAAGCATATATGTTTGTGAATACTTCGTTAAAAAATTAGAGAGGCCAAGAGTAAATCTAGAAATTGACTAGACGACGAAGAATTGGAAAGCTCTCTCTTGAGTTGTTGTTTCCCATATGCGGCCATATATTGAAAATGTGATTGCAAAGAAACAGTGGCAAGCTTCTCATCCACGTTCCTCAGTCATTCGAAACAGATCTGTAAGTCATAACAACATATTGGTAATTATTCTTATTGCACCCACATTAGTAATTCTAGTCGCTGAAAATCCTAATGTAAAATGTTGTTGAAAAAGTATATGGGCGATTTTCATTATCATTGCTTGCGACTCGCCCAGGGTTTGGGGTTATTTAAATTGGCCGTCGTTCAAACGAGGTTACTGATGTATACTGTTTTGTAAGAATGTTTATTATAAAATTCCCTCCTGCCGTTAAACATAGGTTAGATTATACAGTATGGGAACAACTTTACAATGGAACTCTATGAATTTCAGCCTCTTTGGTTTACATTCACAATAGATAATCCACTAAGAATAGCTCACAGGATTCATGTTTTGTATATTCCTCCTAGATCTACTTCAGACTTAAATAAAATTAACCTAACCCAGCTTAAACTATAACCAAATTCAGGTTTGCTTGTTAAATATAAAGGTATGCCAAGTTGCAAGGTGAAAAACATTTGTTTAGCTTTGCTAATAAAATTGAATATGTTATTCAATAAATTCCATAACTGTATGAGAGTTGAAGCTTTCATAGTGGTGAAAATGTGGATTGTGATCTCATGGTTTATGCTTCTGTGCAGTCTTTTAGACGATGACAAGACTACACAGTACCATAACACAGAAGATCACAATCCAAATAGTATGCTATAAAAAGAGGCAAAAGTAACAGGTCACCATACTGTAGATATAACCAAAATTTGCATTACATTATTTTTAGGTTATCTTTCAACATTATTATTTGTATAGGAAATATGTGAATTAAACAATTGTATTTAGAAATAAGAATCATAACTAGTTTTGGTAGACATGCATGTTCATATTGTGTGAACTTTACAACACAGAAGTCTGCAATCATATTTAGAAAACTCAACACAGTAAAGAATATAATTTACAGCAGCATAGGGAGAGAGAGAGACTGTGGAATGAAGCAAAAACAGAAATTTTAGCAACCAGTTAAAAGATGAAGAACATTAAAGAATGTAACTATTGAGAAGGATCAGTTAGATGACATAAAAGACAGGAAGAAAAGAAGACTGATGAAAATAGAGAAAGTGAAGAGGAGAAGGACTCACCTGTGGCCAGTACTGGCAATGTCTTTGTTACAATGAAGGTTGTTACATGAGGTTTCACTTCTGTGGTGGATGTGACCACTTGCTCCTGACCAGCCACTCGAGTCACAATGTATGTGTATGTTCTGAGTCTTGTTGACATCACTGTTTCCATCACAACAGTTGAACTGATATCTGGTACAACTGTATGGGAACTGGCTGTGGTTGCTGGGACTGGTGTTATTGATGAAGGAGTAGGTGAGCTCTCAGAAGAAGATTCAGAACTTGTGTGAATACTTAAGGAACTGTCATCAAACAAGGCACTTGAAGGAGAATTTGATAGATTATAAGATGGACTGTCATCAAAGTGTGGTACTGGTTCAGTAGGAACATTGGTTGTTGCTGTTGTGTATAGGTGTGTGTGGGTTTTTGAACTGCGTCCAAATGTCCTGGAAGAGGTTAAGGGCTGCCTCCCTCTGTAGTATGACTTGTAATTACCACTACTACTGTGGATACTATTACTGCCAGTTGTAGATGTTGGTGTCAAAACTGATGTTTGGCGTCTGCCTGGGAAAGTTGTTTTTATACGCCCAGGCCGTTTGGTAATGCTGAAACGTGTTGGACGTACAAATCGTGGACCATCAAATGAGCTTTCTTCTGTTATTGAAATTAAGCTGTCTTCAGTTATGCTTGGTGATTCAGTTGTAAATTCATATGAAGCTGTGGTGGCTCTGTTATGTGTCTGATCATCTTCCTTATTCTCCCCACTGTATTCGTTCTCTTCTCCTTGTATGTTCTTCTTGTTTTCTTCTTTTTCATGCTTTATGTCTGTGTTAACAGATTTATAATCATTTTCAGGCTGCAACACAGAGGTTGCACCTTGTGATTTTATTATGTCGTTATTGGCCAGAGTAAGCGATGAAATTTTCAATGATGATATTTCAAGTGGTAAGTCTTGTGTCGAGACACCAAAGGTTAGTGTTTCATTCTCTAGATCATGAGTAGAGATTTTAAATGATGATTCAATTTGTGAGGGTTGAATGGTTATGAGTCTCTGTGTAGACATTTCTGTAACTGGAAAATTGCTGGTAGGAATTAAACTCTGCTGTCCATTACTTGCTTGTTTTGATATTAAAACATTACTATTTTGTTCAGTCTTAGATTTCTCCACCCTTATATCTGTCTCGAGTGAAGTGGGAGTTTCTTCATAATATTTCTTCTTGCTCTCTTCTATGATTTCTCTATCATCATAGACTTCATGGTTGACACCTCCACTCATGAACACCTGAGAAACTTTAACCATGTTCTCTGTGTCAGTACTCAGTTCTTTATCTCTGTTCAGCACAGTGTATTTATATGAGTAAATTGTGGACATAGATTCAGGAATGACATTTGTTGGCTCAATATCCAAGTCAAAGTTTGGAACAGGCCTCTTCTTTGTCACCACGATACGACGTCTCTGAGTTGGTGTCATGATAATGGGCCGTTTTCTCGTAACCACAATACGCCTACGCCCTGATGTTGTGTTCATGACTACTTTGTTTCCTCTTACAGTAGTTGGAAACAGGTATAGATCTTTCTCATCTACAGCTACGTTGCTGCTAACGAAGAATGGGATTTCCTTTGGCCTGTATGTTGTGATGACTAAAAAATCTTGAGCTCTGTCTGGGGTATTAGCAGGTACAGAGCTTGAAATGGAGTAATCATCAAGGTCACTACTGACTGTGGAGTGTTCTGTCTTTTTACGGCGTGTTACAAATATTTTTCTTCGTTGATGATTGTTTCCTTCTTCATGAGAATTTGAAGTGACTGGTTCCTGACCATGTATTATGCTTTCCATCCTTGAACCATATTCAGGCTGTGGAGAAGTTTTTCCATGTTCATGTTTCTCAATATGTTGTGCACCAATGTCCATATTAGGAACTCTAGCTGAATGTTGTGCTTCTGATAATGTTAAAATTTCTTCTTTATTTACACTTTTATCTTCACTTAATTTCTTTCTGTTGATGGGCACTTTAATTCTTACCTTTCTCCTTCGGTGAGATGGTATTTCTGAATGTATACTACCATTATCTTTGTCACCCAAGTTATCCTCAGTACTTCTTTTCTTTCTCAGGAATTCTCTTTTTTCAAAAACCATTGCACATGTGCTGTTTTCATATTTAGGTTTTGACAGAACATTTGCTTTGCTTATGTTTTGTTTATTGTCATTTAACATGGTAAGCATGCCCCTGTTTTCTTTATTTATGACCTTCCGCTTGAGTGGGGCAAACTCAGCGGGGCCATTGGATAAAAAATGACCGGTAGAATAGCTAGAATTAAAAGAGGAAGGATTTGTCTTCTTGCCGGGTAATTTCTTTTTGTTTTCTGTTGAGAAAGGTGTTGGATTTTCAGTTGAGGAAGATCTTAATACAAGAAGTTTACTGGATGATGATGATTGACCAATGACTGATGAAACATAACTGCTAACATCACCAACAATACTTTCCAGACTTTGTGTCTCCGTCTCACTGGCCTGACCAGATACTTCATTCATTGCAGACATGACGTAATTATCTAAGTAGCCATCATCTGAAGTAGGAAAAGAGCCTCCAATCTCAGGTACTTGTGATGCCTCCACAGTGAACATTTCTGGTGCAGCAAATCCAGCTTCTCGCTTCCTAATAGCAGCAGAACTCTCATCACCCAGGGTTACTGTTGAGATGACAGTGCTGAACTCACCAGGGCGCCTTCCAGACACATACAGGGTTACAACACTTGTTTCTGCTGGGATTGGAGGTGGATCTGGAGGTTTCTTATCTGTTCTTGATTTTGTCCTTGAAGTCTTGAATGAACGGTCTCTTCCAGTATCTTCGTCCTTTACAACCTGCACAACATCATCATCTAGAATTTCTTTTTCAGAATCCCTTACAAGCCTGTCTTGTTCCTCAGGTGGTCTCTGACGACGTCTCAATGGTTGTTCAGGGGCTGTGTTTTCTAGTGAAGTGTCATGGATTAGCTTCGGTTCCTGCTGGAGCAGTTGCTGTTGAAGACCTGATAATAGAGGATTTTGCACCATGGATTGTTGTTGAGGTTGCCCACCTAGTAACTGTGCCTGAAGCAATGCAGGAAGTAGCAACGAATTAAGTTGGTTACTTCCGGCACCCAGAGCGGCAGTTGGTGTAACAACAATTGTGTCTGTAATGAATTCTGTTGCAGTAATTACCTCAGTTGAGCTGTCCACGATAGTGGTAAGGATCTCCTTTCCTCGGAACGTCAGTGGAATAACTGTAGACGTTCCTTTTGTGACTGTGGTGACATAAGTAGTTTGCCTTGTTTTGAATTCTGTTGTGGGGGTTGATGGGGGTCCAGGATTGTTTAGGGCAAGTAAGGGATTTAAGTTTGGTTGTAAACCAAGGTTACCCAGTAAAAGCTGAGATAATAATATATTAGCCAGTGGTGCATTCGGTGATACTTGTGGTTGTAGGGTATTAACAACCTGTTCCACATCATAAACTGTGCTTGGTATGATGTGAGAATAAGACGTTTTATGTCCTCTAATTGTTGTTGGTGTAAATATAACACTGGTGGTTGGTGTTTCATGGATTAGAAACTGTGTAATCTCAGTGACTCCACTTGGTAATGTGCCGGTAACTTCACTTGTGAGGTACAACACTGTATTTCCGTCCTTTGCAGTGGACACCGTGTATTGATGTGGTCCTAACACTTCTGTACTAGCACTAGCAGTAATTACATTACGATATTCCGTGACGCGCCCGTTCACAACAGGGATTGTGACTTCAGTGGGAATGTGATGTGTCACTGTTATACTTCCATCGAAACTTGATTGAGAGTAAGTATATGTATCAAAGTCGGAAGTCTCTCCTCGGTAGCGGGTTCGAGTCGATCCCCTCCTACTAGTGTTGGGGTTACGGCGAGTGTTGGACCACGAATGGGTCGTGGCTTCTGACGGGCGAGTGTTTGATTGAGTCCTGAGCCTTGGTGGTTTAGGTCTCTGTGCTGATGTCGTCGGTTCAGGTGGCTTGATATTTGTTCGTCTTCGTGGTGACGCTGTTGTAGGTCTCCTAAAGCTTGCACGATTATTTGTAGAAGTATCTTCCTTCCTGAGAGTAAATTGGGATCTACCAGTATTTGATGATACTGACGTAGGTCTCACTCGAGGTTGGGTTGGCGTAGATGTTCGTGGTCGAGGTGTAAACCGCCCTGGATTTGATGGCTTCGGTTTGACAGTGTCCTGAACAGGTTCCGGATCTTCAACTGATTCCTGTGGGCTTCGAGTTGACACTCCAGGACGGCGATACCGAGGAGTGAAACCTCTTGCAGATCCCATGCCACTTTTCGTCCCGTACTCTACTTGTCTCTTTGTGCGTGGTTTACGATTGAAGCCTACAAATGGACGGATGTTAACCGGATTATATGGTTTGTCACTCCGTCTGTTAGCTGACTTATTGGGTTGTGTTTTTGACTCTTTGGTTTCCGATTCCTCATACTCGTTATCGTCAATGTCCTCTTCATTATCTTGCTCCTCTTTGATTTCTTCGTTCTCTTGCTCCTCTCCATCAAATTCACCCTCCTTTGTCTCTTCTTCATCTTCTTTTTCTGGTTTCTTTAGCAATCCTCTGGGTGGGAACAGATTATTTCCAGGTCTTTGTCTGTTTGTCACTGGGTTATACTTGTTAGTAGTACGAGGTTTAGCAGTAGTAGCTCCTCTTTCACTTGCTGGCCGACGTAACAGTGGACTTCTTCTCGAAGATTGCGTCGTAGTTGGCTTCGGAGTAGAGCTTGTTGTCTGTGGAGCTCGTAAAGTAGGCGGTCGTCTAAACCGCAATAGAGGATTATTACTTCGACGAGAAGATTCCGTGGTAGTGGATATGGGCTGTGTTGGCGAATCGTGTTCGTCGTCTGTGAAGTGTGGTGTCTCGTCAGTTACGATGGTAGTAAGATCGTCATCGGGTTCTATCGTTTCTTCGGTCGAAGGTGTTGTGAAAGCGGTGCTGCCGGTTCTTCCGAGTAGCGATGACTGAGTGGGTCGTATGCGAAAGCGAGAGCTGCTTGCCCCATGATGGGATACACTCGTGGAGCCTCTGAATGGGTAATCCGAAGATCCTGCAACCCTGCTTGAAGAACTTCTGTAAAATCCTCCCCTTCTGGATGGTCCGTTCTGACCAGGCGTCGATGTAGCATAAAGACGAGATGACCCTGCAGAACTGCGCCCTCGACCAGTGTAATGTGTGGAAAACGAGGACGCTGCACTACTTACAGGACTTCCCCTTATGCGGGAAGTTCTTCTTGCACTTGCCCCAGAAGGCGTTGGTCTTATGTCATTGTGAATTGTCTTGTACAAACCTGAGGAATTGCCTCGTCTGTTACTGCT